TGTACAGGACAGCTCCAGGAACCTCAGATAAGCTATCTAAATTATGTTTGCAATTCTGGCCAGTATTATCATCATAAATTTAGTTAGAGGGAGGTTTTTGAGTATGATACACAGTAATCTCCAGACAAATTGGTGAGTGTTATGATTATAAATTCTCCTTCTGTTATATAAATGCGTATATGTAATCATTTATTAATTTTAATATACAGTCCACAAGTTTCTATTAAATTTACCAGAATTCCTGGTGATGTACATTTCATTTGTAATTAATATAGGTCTAGAGCAACTTGTGGATATGACAGTTGTAGGTATCGAAGGGGGACATTTTTGTGACCTAGGTGTCCCAAATTCCTACTTGTCTATGTAACTCTGATAAATAATAATTATCTTAGTTACCATTTACTGGTATGTACCTTATGTTACATCCAAGTAAATATAATTTTCCACAAGTTTGCCCACAAGATAATGTGTTTCCCTGAATAGCGGCAGCTTCGTAAAGCTTTTTTAATGTTTATACTGCACAAAGTTATTATTTGATAAAAGTTATGTACTTGTATAACTATCATCTTTACTGGATCCAAATGGCGTTGTGCCGACAATAGTGAAATAAAAACATGTTGCAACCCTAGCTTTTATTGTGACGACGTTTCACTCTCTGTAGAGCTTTATCAAGTTATGTCTTGATAAATCTCTATATAGAGTCAATCGTTGTCCCAGTAATAGCTTGTTTTCTATTGGCTGATAATATAATCCAGAAAGGTGAGGTGTGAATCTACACTGAGAAGAGTCATTAAGCTTAACGGCTTTTATAATTAACCTTAAAAGCTCATTAACTCTATCTTGACTGTTGTATAAGCAGCATTGTTTGATAATCTTGTTTGTCAGTCAGCTGCGGTAAAACTCATGTACGTTCTCGGTGTTTTGGATTCTCTGAAAATTTCTGCCCAAAACTGTTAAATATTGCTTTTTGAACGTCGTATAATTTTTATGAAGATATATATAATTATATGTTTCTCCTTATTGTATATTCTCTATTAAGTTCATCATTGTATTCCCCTTCCCTTCACATTAATATTTATTACTTCCCATTTATCATTTGAAATATCTATCCCTCTTAACGTTTCCCCCTGAAGCACTTTTTATTCCCTTTACAAACCTTCGTTCTGGTTTACTCCGAGTTTCTATACCTTAACGAACCCTAGTTTACCACTGGCTATGTGATTCCCATTGTCTTGAAAGTCCCCATTGTTACTTTCTCTTTCACACCAGCTTCAGTACTCCAGGCAATGTTTTTCCACTCTACGTTTTCCCTCTACCAACTTCCTGGTGATTATGACGTTGTAGTTACGTTAACACGAATAAAATGAAATTCAATAAGATAAAATTGCAAGTTACGGTTTAGGCTGTTCCATTTATTTAATTATATAATAATTTGTGACTTAAGTTAATACTTGATTAAATAATTATGTTTAAAAAATAATATTTAATAATTTTGGAAACTTGTTAGTTGTATGGAGGACTGATGTGCAGAGAGGAGTTTGTATTGCACTCACTGATATACACTGATATACATTGATATGCACTGATGATATACATTGATATACACTGTTCCGGGGAACACGGAAGCACCCACCACCCCCATTTTAACTTCATATTAATATTAAATCAACACAAAAACCAAACATGTGATGATGATATATGTACATCTCGGACCGGGTCGCGGGGGCGTTGACCCCCGAAACCCTCTCCATGTAAACTCCAGGTACATATATATATGTATGTATGTATGTCGTGCCGAATAGGTAAAATTGGTCAGTTAGCAAGAACTCATTTAAAATTAAGTCCCTTTAAAATTTTATCTTGTAAGTTTAAAGATTTTTTTTTCATTTATGTTAATGTAAAAACTAATAATTTTGTACCATAAAAACCTTAGAAAGCTGACCTTATTATAACAAGCTCAATTTAATTTTACTTAATCCAACTAAATATATTTTAGATAAGTTTTCAATAATTTAATAATAAATAAACACAATGAAATATATTGTTTTCGTTACATTCAGAAGGATTTTTAGCGAAGAAGAACTGTGCTGTTTAAGCCAAAATCGCAAGTCTTACCTCGGTATT